GTTCATTGTTCCTGGAGATTTAAAGATTTCAAACAAATGAAGTGAACATGTACGTGTTCCTGCAGAGGAAGGATTTTTTACAGGATGTACAATATGGCAGATGTAGGGTCAGTCTATGGCTGTGGTCCAAACTGAGTAAAATGATCTGAACAGCAGCCATGATCAGAGCTGGTCCACCTCTCTAACTGATTCCTATCTCTGTTAGCACTGCAAACACCAGAGCTTCTTTAAAGGTGCAATGTGTAAGATCTGGCCAGAATATTTGTTTAAAATGTTCAAAAAATGAACTAACACTATCAATAGTATGTGAAGGAGCCACAGTGATGATGTCATGACCAAGACCACCATCTATTGTAATTCAGAGATATCTACTGAAATGAGCATGCTAACCAACTAGCTGCATCCCGCAACATGTTGTAATACCACTTAGACACACTAGATTCTGTATGAGTCAGTGTAGTGTCTAGTCTGCCCTCAGTCCCACGGAGAAGAAGAGCTTCCTCCTGAGCTTGAAGTTAAGCTACAGCTCCTGACTGAAAAAAAAACAAAAACCTCCCGACTAGCATCACGGAAACACACAGATGTTTGAAGCGCCTAGAAAGCGATCTTTATCTCCATCCCGAAGAACTGCTCCGACAAGAAACCACAAAGAAAACACAAAATATATATACAGTATATATATATATTATAAATAAAGTTTATTAAAAACAATCCTAGTGTAAGTGCAGTCAGACTCTTATTAAACTCTCCTTCACATCTTTTTTTCACCTAATGATGTTTGACACAGGTCGGTGGTTAGAGAGGAGATTATCTAGAATTTTGGACCACAGCCTATATCTGGGCTGTTCCTTCTCCGCTCAGTTATGTGATTTCTTGAGAGTTGCTCTTAAAAGTGACTCAGGGCTGCAATGGAAAAGTCAAAATAATCTCCTCTCTAATCACTCCTCAACCTCGATGGAAAACATCAGGAGGTGAAGGAAAGAAGAGAATTGTGTGTGTCATTTCTCCTTTCCTTTCATAAAGGAAGCTCCAGTGTTTCTATGCTAAAGGAGACGAGATGGGAAGCTCCTTTCCTTATCATTTAGAGAAGTGCACCAGTTCTTATGGCTGCTGCTCAGATACTTCAACTCATTTCACTCAGTTTGAACCTTCCTTTTCGAGCGCAGCCCTACACCTGGCTGTTGGTGGGAGGAAGTCACTGATAGAGGTGTCTCATTGCTCACACACACAACAACTTTTAGACTCTTCTGTAGTGTCAGTCTCACTGAGGTTTGATAAATCCAGGTCCTAGTCTTGATTGTTTCAGACCTTTCCAACATCAGAGGAATAAAACTCAGAGGAAATGATGCTGCATGTGTAGAACAAACCCTACGCCTTGTTGGAAAACAAACATGCATATAATTATATATTTGTTATGTTGGGTTCCAGGGTTGCTCATCGAGAATGTCTTCTGTCCATTCAATTGGTTGCAGCCTGCACACAGAGCATGACGCTGGCTTTCTATAAAGAGCCGCAGTCGCTTCAATAATACAGGAAGTGAAACAACAACTTCCTGGAAAACAGTACATCTTCAGTGGTGAGCTCATGCTGCCCTGGTGGGTGTAACCTAAAGGTCCAACTAATGAAGTCATCATGTTTTTTTGATGTTTTTTTTTTAACTGGTATTTTTTTATTTTTCATTATTATATCTACTCTTGCTTTGCCCTCAACGATTTTCAGGTTTAAATAACGACTTAGTAATACTTATTCAAATGAAAACAGCAAACAAAAATTCTAATTTTATTGTAAGCCCAGAAGATGTTGTATTGAAGGACGATGTCTCTGCATCCTGACAAAGTTGTCCAAAACCAGCTGGCTCTCCTGGAGGCCGTGAAGGTTGTAGCGACAGGCATGAAAGACGTTAATAAAACAGTGAAACCATTATTCAATATCTATATAACTAATAAAAAATTACATGTTTTGAAGTGTTGTGTGTTCAATTTGCTTGAGAACGATGTAGATATGCTCCAGAAACACTGCGCTAGCCTGCAGCTGCATTAGTGGCTTCAATGTAGGATCATATTAAAGTGTCCAACATGGAGAAGCCTGGGATTTCATAACGGCAGCATTTCGACATCGGCATTTAAACCGAAGGTCAGAGACGCTGCATTTAATCATGATGAGTCTGAACAGAAAACGTTGACGAATCCTGGATTTGTGCGTAAAACTTTGGTCCACACTGTTTGTGAATGAGGCCCGCTGTGACTGAAATGCAGTTGGAGGTGGTCTGGTTCACACTCTGTGGCCCAGAGCTCATGACCACAGGTGAGGATCGGAAGGAAGATTGACCGGTAAAACGAAAGCTTTGCCTTCAGTCTCAGCTCCCTCTTCACCACAACGGACCGGTACAACACCCGCTTCACTGCTGCCGCCGCACTAATCCACCTGTGGATCTCCCGCTCCATTCTACCCTCACTCATGAACAACACCCCAAGATACTGTATTTCAGCTCCTTCACTTGGGGCAGAAACTCCTCCCACTGGAAGTTCTGTAAGCACATCTACAAAACCAACTGCCAACTGGCAGCAGGCCTCGGGGTAGACCCACAACTCGCTGAAGAGATTATACTATATATCTCATCTGGTCTGGGAATGCCTCGAGATCCCTCAGGAGCAGCTGTAAAACGTTACTGGGGAGAGGGATATCTGGACTACTTTGCTCGACCTGCTGCCACCGAAACCCGACCTCAGATGAGCGGAAGAAAATAGATACATGTTCATATTCAGTCTGGAAAAGACGTTGTGGTGAGGAGAAGTTTGGAGCTGGTGTCACAAGTGTAGCCACTACCAAAAACACTACCACAGAGCAGCTGGAGCTGACCAGTCACTGTACTTGTGGTGTCCCCACACACTGGCTCCAGACCCTCTCTTCACAGAGACGAACAGCAGCAGAGAGGAACACAAACTTCCTCTTCTTCCTGTCCTTTTCCAAGCCTGAGTAACAAGTATTCACTGCTACAACTGTGGAGACTTTACCAAAGCCAATCAATGTTTATGTTGAGAAGCCGACAAGAGGCTTGAACGAGCATTTTATTTCCATGTCTATCTTTCCACTTAGCTCAGACTCGACCAAAGAACTGCCCAGGGCCAACACAGCTACAATTATCATCAAACAAACCGCAGCTCATCGCTGACCCTCCCCTCGTGGGTCGACGGAGGCCGGCACCAACAAAGACAATTGGCAAAACAAGCTAAATTTTTAATCAGTCCCAAGAACACAGAGAGCCTCCCAACAGTGACAGATCTCAATGCTGTCAGAGGAACACAGAGCACAGACAGAGTGAATAGGAGAACACAGGCTCAGTGATCAAAAGGCAACCAGCCAGGCACAGCCCCACACCACCACAGATAAGACTCAGTGATGCAACCGTCCAACGTGAGAGCTCATTCAGAGTAATAATGTGATTACTGTAGAGCAGAGGCTGCTGCTTTCCTGTGGCTGGAGACTGAACAATACAGACACTGTTAGCCTCTGTTTCCTGAGACAGTAAATCTGTTATATCAACTCATCCTGATGGCAGTGTCAGGTTATAGTGTCCGTGATACCTGAGTGAATATGATTGGATATTACTAGCTACAATGCTGTGAATGAGCCACTCATTGTAAAGCAAACTGCACATAGCTGGAGCCAGCTTTAATACGCTTCATTTCATTCTCTCTACATCAGGGGGCCAGTTTTGCCAACCACTGCTCTTCAGTGTCTGTGCTCCAGTTAGTAAAAGCCAAAAGATCATTTTAACAAGGGCTGAACGATATGCAAAAAAAAATCATATTACGATTAGTTAGGCAGATGTTGCTATTGCAATATGAGTCAGATTTCCATGTGAATGTACTATGTCGTTTTTCATTCAATTTTCACTTAAAAAAATATAAAAAATGATGATGATGTGATTTTTGCTGGGGATTCTACCAAACAAGCATGGCAGGCCAGAGCATCTCTGTAGCACCACAATACTTATCGGGGTCTTTAAACAGCGACGGCGACGGCGACAGTGTGATGCAGTGATGTAAATTCTGTTTTAAAACTTCCTACCGTCACAGCCCAACTGTCTGTTTGCTGTACCCTGTGATATGTTAAAGAGTCAGCAGGTGTTTCTGTCATATGTGACACTGTCATTTTGTTTATACTCAGTTATACTGTTAGTATTTGTTAAAGATACCTGCTAATTTAACAGATTTTTCCAGTTAGGTTGTTGCCGGCAGCGCTCAAGATACTGAGACGCGACAAGGGTAAGTACTGAGCCAGGCTCATGTTCCAGTAGGTTTTGGGGGTTGGGAGATGGGGGTGGGGGGACGTTACCCCCTTTGTTTACAAAAAGACCAAATGCACAAACTGTTGTTAACCTCCATCCTCCCTCTCCAGCCCACAACCTGACTGTGCTGTGTGTTGATGAAACCATGACGCTGTCCGTGGTGCTGAAGGAACAGACGGATTTGGAGGAGGTTAACGGTTTAAACCACTATTGTTGGTGAATCTTGAAATTTCTGATTTAATGGTAAATCAATTCATGGTGCACTTTTAGAAAAAAAAAAAAGACTTTCCTGGATTTCCCCATTGTGAGTCACTTCAATAGTGAGGATCAGGTGACTTTACTGAAACAGCAGATTGTGGTCTGTGTCACAGAAACTAACTCAGCTGCGACGTGGCAGTGGCTTTTAGGAAATTCTCCAACTATCAATAAAATATTCAAGGAGCTGTTAACTTTTTATACAGAAGCTCCGTTTTTCTACACTTCTTATGTCACATGCAAAAAAAAAGACAGTGTGACCACATGAAATATAAAACAGTGTGTTATTTCTCCTCACACACATACACAGCACACAAACACACACACACACACACACACACAGACACAATATATTCACAGTCTGATGGAAAGGACCAGATCAGTGCAGATTATAGCTGATCAGCTGATTATTAAAATGAATTCCATTTTACAGTGGGGGTGTGCTATGGCCTACCTTGAAGCTGTTCAATAAGAGTCCAGGCCATTCGAGAACCTTGAGCATCAAATACAACGTGACCCTGAAAGAGAAACACAGAGTTAACCCCCCCTCCATCCTTCCCACTGGGCCCCTCTCTGACTCCTCTGGCTTTTCCACTTACTGAGACTCCTTCGAAGGAGCTGGTGTTCATGGCTCGGTAGATCTCTGCGGTGATATCTCGGTTGTTGTAGTTGAAATCTTCTAGCCGGTGACCCTTGGCCTTTAGGGGCCCCACAGTCTTGTTGAGGGCCAGGGCCAGGGCCCACACAGCGTCATAGGCCAGTGGGGCCTCCTGGAAGCCGCCCGTCTCCTCTGGATTTTTGCCCCCGAGTTTAGACATCAGCTGGGCAAGAAACTCCTGAGAGGTCTGGGGAGGAGAGGACATGACGAGGGGTGGTTACACATGGATGAAGATCTGGATCTGGATCAGCTGGTCTGAATGTGTCGACGGCACATCAGAACATTCACAGTTGCTACTGATATTAATGGACTCAGAGGTGAGTTGTTGTCCTTCCTGAGACTGAATAGGAACCTTCATGAATATCTCAAAAGCTACTGGGGCAGGTCTGTTTATTGACTTACTCTACTTTTGTGTAATCTTTGTGGATTGGGCCATCAGTTCTATCAGTCATGATAATATTCACTCACCCAGCAGTATCACTAAAAATACTGCAGGTCCAATAATTTGACAAACATGAGAAGTCAGACAGTTAAACAGGTTGTAAAAAAAAAGAAGTAAGTAAGAAGTAATTATTCAAATGTGAATTACATTGCACACTCAAAGCTGTTCATGATATTTGTACAGACATCGACAGGAGTTGCTATTGTAGCTTGAAAGAGGAGTTAAAGTCCCGCCTACTCTCTCAACTCCACACAGCAGCGCAATCACTGTGAGCAGTGGACTTGATCGTCAGATTGTCGGCTTCTGAAGGTTATTAAAGTTACTGGTCACAGCCCAGTTCTGATGTAGGAATGGTATGAAAGAGAGGGAAGTCTTTGACACTGTTCGACCATCTGACAAGCTTTTAATTTGAAGAAAACTGACGCCATGAAGCACATTAAAATGATTTGCTTATGGTTTGATCACGGCTTAAAAAGCATATGCTTTGTTAAGGTTTTGGAATATCCGCCAGTCCGTCTGTTGGTCACAAACAGGAAATGAACAGCGGTCATGTCACAGTACCTCTGCCTTTTCTCCTGTCAGACAAGAGTCATACTCAATACTCTAGTCAACTCATACTAGCACAAGAGGATGCTTGTCACCGAGCACTTTATTAGGAACACCTGCTTATTCATGCAGTGGACACAGACTCACCAACACTGGACAGGTCTGCTCTGAATGTTTCAGTCTATCTGAGTATTGTTGCTGAACATGTTCATCCTTCATGACCACAGTTCACCATCTTCTAATGGCTCCTTCCAGCAGGATCATGCTCCATGTCACAAACTGCTTTCATCAACATGACAGTGAGTTCAGTGAACTTCAGTGCCCCCCCCAGTCACCAGACCTGGATCCAGTAGAACACCTTTGGGATGTGGTAGAACAGGAGATTGGCAGCTTGAATGTGCAGCTGACTAAATAAAAGATGGTGTAACAACATAATTAGGCCTCTTTCCATGTATTATGTCGATAAGCCACTGCTAAAGTTCAGATGCGACAGATGTGGCCTCCATTTGTCTGCATTTAGAAACACAACCAGTGCTTCCTGTCCAGTGTCTCACAATCAGGCAGGTCAGTTAGTTTGAGTCTCCGTGAGGCTTTAGGCAGGAGCTCACAGTGATGCCGAGACCACCTCAGTTGGGGATGAGGCTCAGGTCCAGTCCTCCAAAGGCCACACCTCCAACAGCCTTAGTGAGATGGTAAATGTATCACATCCACAACTTCAGATGAACTCATTCTGTCCATTCCTGTTTACTGAACTCTCTTCTGAACCTGTCCAGTATCTGTTCCCGCCTTCTCCAGTCACATGATCCCTCTGCACCTACCACCTACTGTAGCTGCTCGCCTGCCCCTACTTCCTGTAACACCGGCCCTTTTCAGTCTTTGCCTTGTCAGCCGTCTTCTTCTAACAACGCAGAGCAGCAGCTGTAGATGGTTTCAGCTCAGAGGGCCCCCCTGCTGGACAGTCTTTAGCTCTGTGTTCCCTCATAAGAAAATAATTTATTTTTACCCTTTAATCTAAAAGCTGTGTGGTGCGCCCATGATGCATTTGCCTATTTGCACTGAACCTTCATTACGGGTTCATAAGTTCTGCCACCCAGTTGCCTTAATTATCACAAATTAGAGGTGTTAAACAATTGGGCTGACCTTCACACAGTTATGAAAGGGTTTGCAGTCATGCTGTATAATGATGCATGATGGCAGGCTTATGGGGGGGGTTGGGGGGGGGGCAAAGGACAGACAGTTTCTTCGCTGTGAGTTGAATCCATTATGTTGTTATCACAGGTTAGAAAAATGAAAGCGTGTGGGGACGAGCCCCCTGAACCTGTGGCCCCTGACACTCTCTGGGTGACAACCTTCACATCACACCTTCACTGTTTATTGATTTTTGATTGTTTTTTATGAGGGCTCTTACACTGGGAGCTCCTACAGCACATACTGCTGCTGGGACATACCCACACTCCACACTCCACACGCCAAAGACAACAGGCTTCATCTGTGTCTTAACAAACACACCAGTTATCAGTGAGAAATTTCTCTTTTAGAGTTTAAGGCCAAAGATAACATTGTGTCAAAAACACGGCCTCCTCATTTCTTTTAAAGCTCAATCTTTTCTTCTTCTTCTGTAAGAAGATATATTTGTGGTTTTAAGAACCAAAAACCATCTCAGTGTAGTTTTACATCTCCTCTCTCAGGCTTCTCTCTGGAGCTCTAGTAACAACAGGTCGGTGAGCCAATCAGAAGAGAGGAGACTCTGAGGCTATACACTATTATTATTATTTCATTTGCCTTTTGTGAGGCCAGTGAGCGTATATGACGTTGTATACAGGAGAGAAGTCGCTGACTCGCTCCTTCGCAAACTCTTTTACCTGCTTCCACCAAACTTCCCTCAAACCAGAAAACTGCGTGCGCCATCTTGTGAATCCACCATTCCCAGCCTGTCAGCTCCTGTGACACCTGCGCCTGAAGTGAAGACAATTATCACCTTCATTTCAGACTGTCTCATGGGGTACAGCCTTTGAAAACCTCCTCAGTTTAATTATTAAGAGCTATTAAAAACCCTCATCTGTCATCGTTTATTACAAAGGGCCGATAGAAAAACACACTGTGCCAATCTGCAGTATGCTGTCTTTAGTTTGAAGAAAAGCAACAGTTCTCAGCTCACAGAAAATATCCAATACACGTCAGCCAAGCAGGACTGGAACTGCAGTGAGCCGTGGTGTTGTGTACAGTGAAAAAAACAGTTGTACTGAGTCTATTAATTATTCATGGGAGTGTTTTTGCCGTAACATACAATAAACCAATCACAGTGCATCTCCAATTCCCTTTAAAAACCACACACTTCCACCTGGGCGTACTGGAATGACACAGTGTTTCACACAAAGTTACATTCTATTTGCAGTTAGTTGATCACATATTGTGACTGACCACTGAGACCAGTCCTGACCAGTGAGTCCAGTCCAGATCAGTGAGTCCAGTCCAGATCAGTGAGACCAGTCCAGATCAGTGAGACCAGTCCAGATCAATGAGACCAGTCCAGATCAGTGAGTCCAGTCCTGACACATGCAGCAGGTCTGTGACTCTGAGGGGTAAAGAAGCTCTAAAGTGAGGTAACGGCACAAATCAGGTCAGAAATATTTGATGTGATATGATGAGAAGTGTGAATAAATCATTATGAAACTGTGAACAAATTAAAGTGAAGACTGTGGAACACTGGAGGATTTAGCAGGTAGTAAGAAAGAAGCTTCTCTGCAGTCTCATGCCATGACGCATGGCAGTGTTGTACAACACACAGCGTTTCACCGAGAAGCTCCAACCTTCTGTGGCTGTGTTGTAATGATCCACCTGACTTATCCCAACATCTGAAGCACATTTTCAGCTCACTGTGCTTTGTGCGTAACAGACATGTTGTGCACCTGCCCGTGTAGGTGCATATTACTCTCTTGACAATGCTCCTTAAAATAACAGTGAAATACTGAACCACTGACTTCAGACCAGGTTTTTGCTGGTCAGTCACTTTCCGCTGCCTCAAGATAACAATGTGCCAACAATGTTCCTGACCTCACCTCATTTTAAGACCAACACGCCCATAGGTCCACAGACGGGTGGAAGTGTATTTGCTATTTAAACAACGCAGGCGCTGGACGGCAGCTAAAATGTACATCCTGTCAAAGCAGACTTTACCCCTGTACCAAAATCTACTGGAAATAGATATACTGAGCACAGTCCTGTTCCCCAGACAATGAGCACCGAGTCTTTTTGGACCCTACCTCTCTCTCTGAGGACAAATTGTCAAAAATTCACAAAATATATCTCATGAGATCAGAAGATTTCCATGTGCACTGCTCATCAAAGACCAGATGGGCTGCTGCATTCTGGACCATCTGTATTGGTTTCACTGTGCACAAAGGAAGGCCTGCCAGAGGAGCACTGCAGTAGTCGAGGAGAGAGAGAACCATGGCCTGGACTAAGAGTACTGAGCCAAGTAAGACCAGATTTTTCTGATGTTGTATAGAGCAAAGAGACACGACCGGGAGAAGATGCAACATGGTCAGAGAAGGAGAACTGATCAGCAGACATGATATCGAACGTTAGGCTAACGTTAAAGTCTGCGTTAACTCAATTCACAATGTCGACTTTCCACGTCCACCACAGCCTGTTTACCTTTGCAGAGTTAAAGCCCCGCCCTCACCTGAGGAAGCAGCGATGACGGGATGAGGAGCTGTAAAACCTGTTGCTGTGTTGAAATGATTGACATCTGACAGTTATTCCCGTTTCACATTTGGAGGACTGAACCCAGCACTATGATTAGTCGAACTCTTCTTCGTCTTTTTCTCAGCAGACTAAACACTGATGTCCCCTGCTGTTTGACAGGAGTACTGCAGGTATATGACAAATCTTGTGTACAACAAATACTTTGATGTAAACATGCCAACAGGTGGGCAGGTCTGCACACACAGACACACACACACACAAACACAAATGTGTTTGTCCTGTTTTGTTTTGTTTGTATGTTCCTCAGTGTCACTTTTAACGTCATTTTTACTGTTCACTCAGTTTTACTGTGGAGCACTTTGAAACTCTGCCTAGACAAGTTCTTTATAAATAAGTCATAACTGCCTGCCAACCATGAAAGCAGCAGTACTGTTACTGTGTTGTTTATTCCATCAAACTCTTTTTTATTTACCGTCTGCCTGAAGTCTCACGGACATCAAGGATAATTTCAAGACCATCGAGCATGTTTCAGGACCAGGACCAGGACCCAGTTCAGGACCGCTGTGAGGCAGGTCCACAGGAACAAAAGAAGTATTTGATCACAGCTATGTTGGTTCAGACGCTGACAGAAGTATCTGAAGAACGTCCAGAACATCAGCCTGCAGCTGCTAGCTGTGGGCCCAGACATGTGACTTTTATTTCTGACTGTTCCTAAGGGATTCACATAACCTTCACTGGTTCCCTGTCACATGTAGAACTGACGGTTCTGGTCCTGCACAGTTATTTTCCTGCTGGTTCCCTACAATCTGCCCTCACCTCATCACTGACAGCTGCAGGAACTTAAACACCTGTAACCTGGGGCTTCTCATAACCTCAGCTTTGAACAACTTCCTGGTTCTTCCATGTTCTCACTGTGTTTTACAAATCAGAACTTTCTGACAGTAATGAAAGACACTGCAGGCAGGGTGAGCAGGGTGGCCAAACCTGTCTCCTAAAAATGATGTTTCTATACAACTAAACTGCAACAGTAAAATACAATACATGACAGTTATAATTCATTATCATGTTGTATTCACCAATGGTAGTGGAGGCTGATGACACCCAATCAGGGAGCGACTGCAGGTGTCAACACTGTTGTTTCCAAAGGTCTCAGTTTCTCTCTTTCCAGACTGCAACACAACCCCAGAGTTTTCAAAATAAAACAGGTCCAGCAGCGTTTCTGAAAGTCAGTTTTATGGGGCTGGAAGACTCCGGAGTAATGCAGACCCAGCCAGATTTGGCACACACTTTTGCCCAAAGCAACTTTTTTTTCTGTCCATCAACCACCAACTCAAGGAAGAGAAGCACAAGCCATCCCATTCTGAGCTCTGTGTGCTGTCACTACAAAGACTAGCATACATAAAATGCATTATTTCAGTGGTCATCTCACTGTCGTTCAGAGTTCAGGCTAGAGGAAGCCTGATCTAGTCTGTGCAGACACGGAGTGGAGGATGAAAAGAAGAGGCAGCGACCTGTTTTTCCTCCAATGATGTCTGAGCCACTGTCACTTCAACAAACTTTGATCAATAAAGTGCTCCCCTGCTCACTCACACACAACCTTCAGACAGCAGGTCTGAACGCTAATAAAAGTCTGTCCTCTGTGTGTCAGGCAATGTTAGTGTCTGCACCGGTATACACAGCAGTGTCCTGGAAACACAGCAAGCAGAAAAACACTGAGCTTCTCCACCATTTATTAAACAACAGATACAGTTTACAATCCCTGCAGCAAACACACTGTAAAATGAGCCTTTCTTCACGTGTTACTTTTACTTTAATTAGCTTACCTTGTGCATTTCTCTGTGGACTGAGCACTTATAGAACATAGACCTCAAACAACACATGGACATCTACCTTTTTTTTACTGATTTTACTGATCACTTGTAAAGCCCTGAGCAACATAACAGAAATGTTAACTCCATATGAGGCAGCTAGCAGCCTTAGCTTCTCGGGTGGGGCCCTTCTGGCTGTTCCAAAGTCAAGGCGTAAATCTAAAGGTGACCATAATTATGCCACCAGGACCCCTCCACTGTGGAATGACATGCCAGAGGAGACAAGGCAGAGTCAGTGAACTTCTTTCAAATCACTTAACAATACTACAATACTTATTATAGATCTACTTTGATGTGATGTCGTCTTTTAATTGTTTTTTATTGCTTTTGTACTTGTTCTATTCTCTTCAATTGTTTTTATTTATATTGAATTATATTGTTGTCTTCTCTCATCAACTTTACCTCATACCCCCTTATGTTGTTGTATTGTTGTTGTATTGTTGTTGTTGTTGATGTTGTTTCTGTTGTTGTTATATTGTTGGTTTGTTGTTATGCTGTTGTTACATTGTTGCTACATTGCTGTTACGTTGTTATGTTGTTGTTATGTTGTTACGTTGTTATGTTGTTGTTATATTGTTGTTATATTGTTGCTACATTGTTGCTACATTGCTGTTACGTTGTTATGTTGTTGTTATGTTGTTACGTTGTCTTCTGAGCCTTGTGCCTGAGGCTTTTGCTTTGTTGTCGGGGCACTTTGTAAACTTTGTTTTTAAAGTGCTGTATAAATAAAGTTATCATTATTATTATTGTTCCCTACTCAAGCCGATTGCTGTACTATAGTATCAATACAGTGAAACTTCATTCTATGTAATCTTTGAAACATAGTGGATCCAGGTAAAACATGTTATCTTTGTTTTTAGAAATTAGTTTTATTTTTTTTACATATGACATATTGACATATTTTAAAAGTCTATAGCCATGGAGGAACCATACTGCACTACAGATAATCCTGACGCAGCAATGCTTTTTAAAATGAGTAGAAAGCTTTTTTTGCTGCCTCAGCGAAATATAAAAACTAATCATAAATCATAAATTCCCAGTAGCCTCTGCAGGTGCAGGTCATTCTGTTGAGCATGTTGTAAGGTAACATCTGTCTTACCAGGTTGGAGGCTCCTCGCACCGTCTCTGGGTTGAGCATGACGATCTCAGTGGTCACATGACCCTCGACAGCCTCTGTCATCTGCTCCACGGTGCAGTTGATGGACGGGTCCTTGATCTTAAACCAGTTGTCTGCGTACCAGCCGATGAGGAACCACACATACTTTTTGCCATACAGCTTCTCCTTGTAGACCTGCAGAGGGAGGACAAGAGGAAGGAGAAGGACATGATGAAGGAGCAGCTGCTGCATCACTTCTGTCACTATCTGTTCAGTAATATTTGATATAGTGATGGACAGGTGAACATCCACCATGTCCCTTCAGACAATCTGACTGACATGTAGCTGATAATGCGGTTGTTGAAGCATCCAAATAAAACACACTCTTGTTTCTCTTTTTTGAATACAGCGGAAGTGTTGCCCACGCTGGGTTGGTCCTGGTCTTGGACTTAGAAGACTCCTGGACCTCCTGTCCTGGACCTACTCAAATGTACAATATCACAGTTCTACCACATTTTAAATGGGGTTTTCTAGAGCAGATGGGTTTCAAATCAACATAGACAGAATCACAGGGTTCTATCTGACTGAACCACATGCTCTGTTTTAAAACACTACATTAAGGTTCCATGTAGAACTTTTAAGTGAGAGGTTCCCCATTTCATTTGTGTTCTGCATGTGCACAAGAATAGCTCTCTATACACAGACACGAGCACGTAATCATCTCACTGTATGTTCAGACTGAAAGTTGCGAGACTGTCAAAGTGACAGGAATTTATTCATTTTCTACGCGAGCCTGTGTCTCTTGGCGGTGAACAGCGGCATGCCAGTTGGCGGCATCTCAAGGGCGGTGTGGGCAACTTTATGGTAATGAGCTATGATGGGGTTTGGTGGCAACCAATCAGAATGTAGAATTGCTGCACTCTGGAGAACACTAGAGAACACAACCATGTAAACTATGGTTCTTATCAAACTTTTGCTGCCAAGCACATCTACGATGTGTCCCTGTTTGTTTACAGGGACTTAAATAAAAAATCACTTCCTTGTGGTTGTTTTCTCCACCGAATTACGCCAAGTTACAGGAAATACGGTCACAGTCTCTGAGTTACAGCATTGGATAATGGCCAGAAGTGTTTTTGCAGAACACTATGATGTCACAGTGAAGTTTACCTTTGACTGTTTAGATATAAAGTTGCATCACTTCATTTTATCCTTATAGACCTTTGAGTTATATTGTGTCATAATCAGTGTATGAATTAATGAGTTATGGCCAAAAACATGTTTTGTGAGGTCTCTGACAACCAAATTCTAATCAGTTCATCCCTAAGTCCAAATGGATGTTTGTTCCAAATATGAATAAAACTATTTTGATATATTTTGTGAAAACAGGAGGGAATTTCATGCTAACTAGCGCCCTAGCATGCAAAACAGTGTTGCTTCACTACTTGATGCGAATCAGTCGCTAATTGAAAACATGAGTGTTTGCATGAACAAGATTCCTGAACAAACCTGCTAGTTGTGGATGAAAAAATCTTTCTTTATCTATAAAAAACAGACATGTTTTTATTACTTTAAATTCATGCCAGCCAAGTCTGTCATAAATGAAATATACAATACCTCACAGAAGACCTTCCTGGCCTCCGTCTCGTAGAACAGGCCGACAATAATTCGGGCATCTTGGCGCTTGGAGATGGAAAAGAAAAGGACAGAGTCACACAGGGGGTGGGGATGAAAAGCACGAGTTAAAGGCCCTGCAGCGTGGATACAGGAACACCGGAGCCAACTCTCCTCCCAGCTCTGCAGCACACAGCGGTACACTTCCTCTCCACTGGGTTACATTCATGCTGTTACCATGGTTTCTTCTGCAATGGCCAATTAATCTTGCACACCAAAAACTAGGCTGACATGCTGGGCAAGGTCATTGTAGAGTGTGTGTGTGTGTGTGTGTGTGTGTGTGTGTGTGTGTGAGCGAGGAAGGAAGCACGTCAGGCTGACACAGGTGGAGGAAGGGAAGTAGGTGGAGGGCTGAAAGATCCCTGTACTTTCATTAAACACTATGTGCAGATATTTGCAGCTAAACCCATGGCACACAAAGAAAATAAAACCCCAAAACTACAACAACAAAAAAGAGCAGCTTAGCACAGACCTTTACCTGGAGCAGTGTGTCATGGCGTGTCTTATTTTTCCCACACTGTTGTAGTGATGCAGTTAGAGGCTGTCCTGAAACTAAACTCTGCTATTTCTCATATTAATGGGGGTTTCCTGCTTCAATTTTTCTTTAAAGCAACTGGTGCATTTACCTGCTTTCCCTCTGAGAAGAGGGAGATAAGATGATGGAGTCAAGACGTGGTTAGCCTAGCTTAGCTTAGCTTATTAACACACTGTGTCTCGTTTGGCAGAGTTGTGTGCTGGAACTATTTGTTGACCAACAGCAGCTGCAGTGCAGGTTGTGTGCAGCTTCCTGAAGTCTTGTTGTCACGGTGAGCATGTCAGGTACAGTGCTGAGACCAAGACTAAAACCTGCGCACACTAAATGGAACACTGAGCGGATAGACACACTGCTGCTCATCAAGCGCACAACTTCCCCTAAAAACAAGCTGTTGTTTTTATAGTTTTGTTCTCTATTTTTGACAGAGCCAGGCTAGCTAGTTTCCCGTATGTATGCTGTGCTAAGATAACCACATGCAGGCACAAGACTGAAACAAAGTGAATAACCATGTTATCTTCGCAGTGCCTGACTCCGCCCCTAACTCCGAGTTAATCCAAACATTGGCAAAGAGGTGGAGCGTGTGGCAAACATACCCTCCCGTTAGCATAGTTACCACAGCTGGGCATCATGGCGTCTTGCTTGAAAGCTAACCCAATTCATTTGTTGGCTAATTAGCTAGTTTACGAGCTAAGCTAACAAGCCAGGTATGGTGAGTATGAGATATCTGCTAATTTGTGCTAACATATAAATAAATGAATACTAGAAAATAACCCCAAAAACCAGGAGCACAGACATTTTCATATTCTGTTGGTCAGTTAACCACCAACAAGTTAAATTATCTGTCTGATATTTAATGAAAAATCCCCCAAAAGGACCAGCACCTCCAATAACAGTAAAACACACTCACTCCCCACATCCTGCAGGTCTGTGGCTTCAACAGTGTGAACCTCACATGCAGTAAAAACTAGTGGATTTGGGCCCTCTGAGCTATAGAGATACAGTGCCTTGCTGAATGACTCTACATGGAGTCTGGCAACGGTCCACTGGCCTGACAAAGCCTGACTGACTGGTCTCTGGTCTGTGTGAGAAGGGAATACTGGGATACGGCACCTTGAGGTTTTTGACGGCCACAGCAGGGTCAGTGAGGAAACTCTGACGAACACTGATTTCAATCCCCGCCTCTTTCACCCTCTCCTCCAGATCATCCAGGGTCTGTAAAATACACACACACACACACACACACACACACACACACACACACACACACACACACATACACACACATACACACACACACACACACACAATGATGAGCACGCAGAAGACAAGAGAAAAAGAGAGACAGCAACCAAAACAGGAGTGAGCAGAGATAATGGAATGGTAGGTCGCGAAAAGATATTCAAAGAACAGCAAACAGCAATTGAAGCAGGAGCATGGAAGTGAGGGGGAAGATGAGTCGGTGGTTTGGACAGATGATAGTGGGTGTGTGGGTGATGATAACAACAAACAGATAAAACAGCAGGTGACAAGACAGAGGGAGAGAGGAACTAGGTGAGGGGAGCTAGATGTAATAGAAGATGGGGTAGATAAGGGAGGAGACAGACGTAGCAAATGAGAAGACACAATTTTTTTCGCCATCTTTGTCTGTGAAGGCAAATCACTGTTGAAAACAGCCTTCTCAGGTGGTCTACTTAAAGTAAACGTGCTATTTTATGTTATTTTCTGTGACATTAATTTGAGCTGAGGTGAAGGAAAGCAGTCACAGCAGGATACTTAGAAAGCTTATACAAATATATATATATATATATATATATATAAATATATATATATATATATATATATACTTTTTACTCACATGGCAGTGTTATCACCATATCCATGATATCCATCTTCACACCTTTTAACTCATCATCATCTGCTGCCTAAGAACTGTACACACCATATCCATCTCTCGTTCTCCAGTTGAAGTGTTTCTACATTGTTTATTCATCCCAGACACCCAAAGAGTCAACTCTAT